CAGCCCCTCGGGCACATCACTCTACTAACAATTAACACCAGGGCGTCTGGTAAACTGTGCAAGATGTAGCATGAATGCCAATGAAATGAGAGTGCTGAATGTCATGACACGTATTACAAACAGAAACCAATGCATGAATGCAATGCAATGCATATGACCGCTGCGGCGCGCAGCCCGATCCATTTGGGTACCCGCGCTCACTGTGGGGGTTCAGACTCCGGAGGGGCTCCTACAGCCCAAGCGCAATATCATCATAGTATCGCTGCGGCGTGCAGCCCGATCCATCCTCAGTCCAGAACATGCAAATGAGCCACTCGGGCAATGTCAAGTAATAGCTTTCAACTCAAAACATCAGAAAAATGCAATTCAAGTCTTTAAACTTTAACAATATGACTGCACAATTCAAAATAAGGTTTAACTCAGGACTGAAATCATTTAATATGCTAAGTGTCATGAAAACAGTGATAATAATCCCTAAAGGATTCAAATAATCGGCACGAAGCCCAAAACATGGCAATCAACCCAAATCACGATAGCATCAAGTAGGTTTCAGTCAACTACGCAGTAAAATCAACAACCGGGACGGACCAAGTCACAATCCCCAACGGTGCTCTACCCCACGCTCATACCTGGCGTGCAAGTCACCACAATATAGCACTATGATGTGCAAAATCCGGGGTTTCAAACCCTCAGGATATCATTTACAAGTATTACTCACCTCGAACCGGTGAAATCTCTAGCTCTCGACGCCTTTGCGCCTCAAACCGGCCTCCACGCACGTCGAATCTAACCAAAATCAGAGCGAATACATTACAATATGCCAAGGGAACAATACCCAATCGAAAACAACCAAGAAATAGCAGAAATCTTGAAACTAGCAAAACCCGAGCCCCGGGCCCGCTTCTCGAAAAATTACGAAATTCACATCACCGGATTCCTCGTCTCGCCACGAGTCCATACATATAAAATTCACCAAAATCGGAGTTCGTTTGACCCTCCAAATTCCATTTTTACATCAAAATTTTCAAACCCTAGTTCTTCCACCCAATTTTCCAGGAATTAAAGGTAGATTCTTCAATAAAATAGCATTTCTAGGTCACGAGACTTACCTCCAATCAATTCCCGTCAAAACTCTCTTCAATTTCTACCCAAAAGCTCTTGAAGTGGTTCAAAAATGGAGGAAATACCAAATGGGCCGCGGATGAAATGTTATATAAAACCCTTCTGTAACTGCCCAGATTGCTCTATGCGAACGCGAGACACCCTCGCGTTCGCGATGACCAAAATTTCAGCTGACCAAAAATACCCTTCGCGAACGCGTCTGGTCCCCCGCGAACGCGAAGGCTTAGGCCTCCACACTCACGTGAACGCGGCCAGTCAACGCGAACGCATTGAACATCCAACTGGCCCTCTATTTTTCTTCTACGCGGACGTGTGCCAAGTCATGCGAACGCGGTGCACCACTGCCCTTAACCTACGCGAACGCGTAGCCCTAACGCGAACGCGATGAACAACTTCCTGCCCCCTCAACCTTACTCTACGCGTCCGCGACACTTGCCACGCGAACGCGAAGGCTTAAAATAGCCTGCAACTGCTGTTGCATTTTCTGCAACACTCAAATTCCAAAAATCCTTCCGTTGATCACCCGGAATCACCCCGAGGCCCCCGGGACCTCAACCAAAAACACCAACATACCCCAAAACATCATACAAACTTGTTCCAATCCTCGAAACACATCAAACAACGCTTAAACCATCAAATCACCTCGGACTCAAGCCTAAGTTTCTTAAAAACTTCCGAAACACGAACGATGTCCGAATAACCTGAAATTTTACACACATATCCAAAATCACCTAACGAAGCTGCAGCAACTCTCGGAATTTCATTCCGACCCTCGGATCAAAATCTCACCTATCCACCGGAATTCCCAAAACACTAACTTCGCCAATTCAAGCCTAATCCTACACCGGACCTCCAAAATCAATTCCGATCACACTCCTAAGTCACAAATCATTTCCCGAAGCTAACCGAATCACCGGAAATCACATCCGAGCCTTCTAACTCATAAGTCAACGTCCGGTTGACTTTTCCAACTTAGGCCTTCCTTAAAGAGACTAAGTGTCTCATTTCTTATCAAAACCAATCCAATCAACTCTAACACACCACATACCGATAACGAAACATAAAGAAGCATAAAATGGGAGAAACGAAGCAGTAACACATGAGACGACGGATCGGGTCGTCACATCTTCTTTAAATGTTTGAGGCTCACTTTCTAACAAGAATGTCAGAAAATCTGGTCCAAAGGAAGTAGTTGTCTTTTGACGTTTACTACGTCTTGGATTCACCTCATTAGGTGTACTTTCCTTTTCTTCTTCCCGAGGTCGCTTAGATATTTCACTAGACGACTCACATTTCTTTTATACGGATAAATATTCTCAAAGAATTCAGCATTATCTGATACGATTACCGTATTAATATGAATGTCGGGATTTTCTGATTTATGAATCAGAAAACGATATGCCTTACTATTTGTTGCATATCCTATAAAACTGCAATCAATAATTTCCCGTCCGATCTTTACCTTTTTTGGGTTTAGGAACTTGCATTTTAGCTAAGTACCCCCCACACTTTAAAATATTTAAGTTGGGCTTCCTTCCATTCCATTTTTCATATGGAATGGATTGCGTCTTGCTATGGGGAACTCGATTGAGTATACGGTTATCTGAGAGAATAACTTTTCCCCCACAAGCTCTGGGGTAAACCAAAACTTATTAACAAGACATTCATCATCTCCTTTAACGTCCTATTCTTTCTTTCTGCAATTCCATTACATTGCGGTGACTAAGGACCTGTTGTTTGGTGAATAATACCATATTCCAAACATATTTTTTCAAAAGGAGATTCACATTCACCGCCCCTTTTACTTTGTAGAGCCAACTACAAGAACTGTTGTTTGTGTCACGATAGAGCCAGAATTAATAAATGGTGAAGTTTTTAATCTTCAAACCAATCTGACATATTCAGAATTAATAATCGGTGAAGTTTTTAATCTTCAAACCGAGTAACATCTGATATAACTAGATCTAATAAACGGTGAAGTTTTTAATCTTCAAACCGAGTAACATCTGATACAACTAGATCTAATAAACGGTGAAGTTTTTAATCTTCAAACCTTGTAATTTGTGACACAATCAAATTTAATAGACGATGAAGTTTTTAATCTTCAAACTGAATAATAAATTAGAGTAGAAAATCACTAAGATTTTAATCTCCAAAACGAGTATAAAGTTACTTAGACTTTAATTTTCGACAAATGAGTAGAAAGTTACGAAGACTTTAATCTCAACGAACGAGTACAAAATCACGCAGATTTTGATCACGAAGCAGGAGTAGAAAATCACGAAGATTTTATTCTCCATAACGTGTGTAGAAAATTACGAGAATCTTAATTCCCTTTCCAAATGATTTTCCAACTAAAGCATTATAACACTTTAACCATTTTGATCTCTTTCTCTAATCAAACACATATATGTTCATCTTTACATATATTATATTCACTATCTCAAAAATAAGCCTCATACTTACAGTGGAGGTCAATCTTCATTTGTTTTCACGATAAGTGATGTAAATGAAAATAAAGTCACTGGACAAAATTTGTTTGAAAGCCACGAATCCAATTGAAACGATCGGTTCAAAAAATCTCATTGGCATCACACCAATTCAATTTCATTAGGTGTGTCATTCTTGTCTTTTGTCCTTTAGGCTACCATATTATAAAGTACAAGCCTTTGACGTCTTTTTGATTGGATACTTGGGTATACATGAATCCTTCTTTCAAAATTCTTGATACCAACTATCACGGCTTACCACTCTTAATCACGAACACCAAATCCCTATTATCTGCGGTAATTACATTCGCTCAGTTCCTTGCATGCGTTTTTCAGATGATGTTGGAATCTGAATCCGACTACTTCTAAAACAATTTTCTTCTGTAACAGATATTCCACTAAATTCCTTAAGATTGTTAGTATTTATGTGTTCAAAATCAGAAAATTATAGAAGCAAACAAACGTTAGTTCAATAAACAAATCGTAAAATAATTCCGAGCCCACTGAATGCACAATGTGTCCTTAAGGAATTTAATCCCCTCACTGTTGCCCAAGGTATACGGATTAATTCCTCCCAGGATAGAACAGAATAACTATTCTGTGATAGCGGCACTTCAAATCACAGAACTTCAGCGAACTCAACATACGGAGCAAATCACACTTGACACTTATATTTATTTAGAAAATAATGCAACAATGTAGAAAAGAGGGGAAAAGATTTCAGATTTTTTTCATCTGATTTTGTCTTTAAACTAAATTTATAGACAAAGGAAGGGTGATATGGAGAGGTGCAATCTAAAAGGTGCCTCTTCCATTTCCCATTCACACCCCTTAATAAAAACGCAACAGATACACATGATGATAGGAGTCGACTTTCGATACTTTTTGTGCTAGGATTGAAAAAAACCAGGTGTCATGCGGAAGCTATTAAAGCAACAATGGAACGAAGATAAAACAGATAACAAAAGAAAAATTTACCAAAAGAGATACAAACATTTAACGTGGTTCGCCCGATTGACCTACGTCCACAAATGGAGATGAGCAATCCACTATATAAAAAGATAGTACAAAATATCGAGAGAACAACCTCACGAAGAGGCAAACACAAGTGGCACTATAACACTCGTCCCATAAAATTCTCCCCGTAAACACGACTCTCAAACCCCATATGACTACATTCTACTGAAAGAGAATGAAGAATCATCAATTTATAGAACCCAAATATTTTTCTACAAAAAAAAAGGACGAGCCAAATATGTGTGATTTATAATTTCCTTCTAAAAGAAGGAAAACCTAATTATGGTAAATATGTCGCCCTTTCCTTCAACAGATAAGAAAACCAAATATGGTAAAAAAATCAGGACAACACCTAACAAGTTGCTCACTCGATTTCAATACTAAGTAAGCTCCAATCAAATAAGTAAGAAAGTTCGACTACATAATATAAAGAAAAGGCGTATGAGAGTTAGAAAAGGAACTCTAAGAACCATACTACATAGAAAATGAAGCAACAAACATATTCTCTAGATAAAAAATGATTGTATCAAAATCACAAGCTTGAGAATTATTCAGAAAAGGAGAACACTCTGACAACCATACTGCATAGAAAATGGAATTTTTGTATAATCCATAGACTTGAAAACATATGCAGCCATTGTTTGTATTACCAAAATTTGAACTCATAAACTCTGGATGATTTTGGAGAGTGCTGAATAGGATCCAATAACTGCTGATATAACACCAATTATGATAATAAGTATACATGCTGATACCTGCATAGAAAAGGCCGTGTTATCAAAGGGGAAAAATATAGAAAAAAAACTCTAAAGTCTAATGGGGTTTTAAGCGCAAAGAAAGCGCGGGCTTCAGTAAAGAAAGACGCAAAAGGAGAAGCAAATAAAAATATGTATGGCTAGTCAAGGACTAATAATTATAAGCATGAATTAAAAACATATGGACCAAGAAATTGAAAAAGAAAAAATTACGATAAAGTGAAATATCAATTGTTTAATGTTGTCTCTTCTGGATTATGCTCATTGGCAAGGAAACGTATGCCTTAGAGCCTTGAAGGCGACACTGAAGCGCCCACTAAGCGATGCGAAGCACTCAACATGTGTTGCACCTCGCTTCAAGGCTTAAGCACGCTTTATGCGTGCCTTTGACAACACTGAGAAACGGATGAAAGAACAAGTTCCATCACCAAAGGAAGGTAACACTAGCAACATGGATAATTAATCAGGAGACTTATAGTTTACATAAATATCTAGCTTGATATGTAAACATGTCTATAATCAAGGCGAAAATTTAGAGGCAGATTTAGGACGGGTTCAGTGGTTCAACTGAATCCATTATTTCTATTCAAACTATATATACATATGAAAAAAGATTAAGAATATGTGAGTGAATGTGTGTGTGTCTATATATATAAAGATGCTTATATCTAATAACATGATAACGAACAATGAGAAAAGAATGTCGGTTTTAACACGAGTTTTTTCACCTAAATTAACAATTAAAACAAAGTATACGCGCGCTATCTTTGACCTATCTGATAAAAGGGAAACATCTGTTGTACCTGAATTGGACTTGTTTTTCCTTTCAATATTCTCAAGAAGCAAGCACAAGGTAGGATCAATGTCTGGAATAGAAAGATCATATATTAGTACAATTCTTTAAATACCAAAATGGAAACAGAAAACCTATTTAACAAAAAAACATAAAAGTGGTACAGAACAGAAAGGACTCACAACTAGCATTGTAAATAATGATCCAATCAATGCCATCACAAATCCTGCAGGTTAAAATAAAAGTCTTTTTAAGCCAATAAATGTTACATAGGTAAGCTTAATACCACGGTTTTGTTGATATTTTTGAGAGCAAGGTCGTTCCGAAAGCGTTAAGGGGATTAATAACACATTGTTCAAGTTATATTGATAATTATAGCAGCTTATAACAACAACAAACCCCGGTGTAATCCCACATGTAGGGTCTGGGAAGGGTAGTGTGTACGCAGACCTTACCGCTACATTGAGAAAGTAGATAGGTTGTTTTTGGCATACCCTCGGCTCAGAAAAGATACAAAGGCAAAAATGATAAAGATAATTATAGCAGCTTAACTTACCAAAAAAAGGAACTTTAAGAGCCACAAGTAATGTGGATATCACCAATGCAGTTCTAATGAGGACTCCGTACATGTGAGATTTGGCGTGGTTCGATGGTATCAACTCCTCCAAACTCATAGCAACAGGGGCCATGGTTAAAGCATATGTGTTTCTAGTTAAGGAAGATGTTCTCCCTTTGCTGAAATTATCTTAAAAGGAAATTTTCTTATCCTCAGTTCCGCGTGCACTAAGCTCCCACTATGTGTAGGATCCAGGGAAGGACCGGACCACAAGGATTTATTGTACGCAGCCTTACCTATTTCCATGGCTCGAACTCATTACCTCCTGGTCACATGGCAGCAGCTTTACCGGTTACGCCAAGGCTCCCCTTCCCATATCCTCAGTTTGACGTCTTATTTTAATAACATATTTTGAAGTACTGCAATGCAGTGGAAAAAAAAAATCATGGAGTCCAGAAAAGGATATTTTGTGAATGGATTAACAATCTGCAAAAGAAGCAGACAATTTGTCATCACATGTTCAAATGGTTGTATTAAGGAGAGAACTCAATCGATCACGTTGCACTTACTGTGGTCCAAAAAGCGATTTTGGAGGCAACTAAATTTGTGGGCAAGTTTAGAGTAAACTGGGATTCAGCTGAGTCCCCAAACATCATGTATCCCATCACAGCTGCTCCAGCATACAACACAGTCACAATACCGAAACTACATCCAAATTATATCCACGTTAACAAAAATAAGGAAACAGGATGATGCAAAAAAAATCAACAAATATAAAATTCTGAACGCATAATTTCAAAAATACATTGTAGTCAGGCTAAGTATTTTAAAAGTTGAAACCATCAAGTTTGAATTTTGGTCCACCTCGGATTATCTACAGCGTTTAACATACAAGCATTAGTTTCCGCAAAACTAAATACCTGGTTAAGAGGACAGCGGGGAACTGACTGCGTTTCTCCAATGATGTATATATATTGGGAAAAACTGCATGTCCGGAGTAGCAATATCCATAAAGTCCAATAGCAACAGGAAGACTAGAAATATTCAGTACAGTTTGTTCGCTTTGAGTGCCAACATGATCCACTAAGCCAAGCCAGTACAAGCAAATGACGACCATTACAGAAGCAATAACTCCTCCAGCTGAAAATTATGCCGGTCCATTTCAGAATTGTCATTGTACAGTAGTTGAAACAGGAAAATGCCAAACCCTAGAAGTATCACAAGAGAAGCCTACAAGAACTACACGACTATTTCATCTCGATGGGGTGTGTGTGTGTGCATACACGTGCACACAATGCTATCAGACGACCACTTTTGGCTATTCAGATATGAAGCTCTTCTTATAGGAAGTTAGCCACTTACCTGAGATGTAACTAAGAACAGTGAGGTCACGCAACCAAACAGTAGGAAGAACAGCTAAGGTGGTTATCAAAGCAAAGAGATGCCGTGCATCTAATTGGAGCCCTCCCAAACTTAAATGTGCATTTGGAAATAAAGCCGACAGGTTATCGCCCTCCAAAATTATGTATTCAACACAACAGGACTGCAAGTGAAGGACAACAGTAATGAAGCATATATCAGGATGAGGCACACATTTAGAAATTAAAAGGACAAAGGATGTTACGGACAATGTGCAGGCAACATAAACTTACATATAATTCCACGTATAATATTATCTGCATCCACAAATACACAGAACAAGAAAGAAGCAGTATCAGAAATCGGTGATGATTGCATACATATGCTTAAACTGTTAAATATGTAGCTAGTCTAAGATTATCTACGTATCAGGAATCGGTGATGATTGGCCAAAAAGTTAAAATATGTTCCACAGCGATTCCTCAGCATTCTTTACCTACAAAATTTATCATCTTTATATCTCTGTTATCAAGCGTGGTTGAAGTGCAAAGACAACTGAAAGCCAAAAGGACGTACCGATATGATAATTCTTCCCACTGTACCAAAGGCTGCCTGACCAATATCCGGATAAGTCTCGAGCCCTGGTTGGCTGTCCAAACAGTATCTGAGGAGAATGCCAGTATAGTAAGAAAGCACACCGAAGATGAATAATATAGAAAGCCCTGCCCATCCACCTTCCTTCACAGCATAAGGAGTAGAAAGGATTCCTACTCCACATAGAACATTAATACCTGTATGAAAATTAAAAAAAGCATTTGTAAAAACTGTGTTGCTCACCAACCGTTTGATTGGAACATAAAGCTGTGTACAGAATACTAACCGTTTAGCACGCCTTGGCCATAGGAACTTTGACGGGAAACTGGAAATTCATGTGCAACCGATTTCTCATCAGGAAATTTCTTAATAGCAGACCTCCTTGACGGAAGAGGAGGCAGCAAAGTATGAGAGCTACGTCGCTCATGTGGAGCCTGCTCCTCTTCTATGAGAGGTTTATGAAGAGAGGGCAACACTTCAGGAGTGTGTCTCCTTGTGAGTGATGAGCCAAGGAACGAGCTGCCTAAACGTGTTAATGAAGGTGTCCCCAGGAAAGTAAGACTTGGAGACGGTACACTACTATATATATCCATAGATTGCCTGAAACAAGTGTTTTGCAAAGATTAGAGGTGGGATATATAAGTAAGACATTGCAAACTAGACAAAACTCATTTGAGACATGAAGCGCTCGGGAGAAAAGCTTTGCATCATCATCGGAGATTACAGGGGCTAACAACAGCTAATGATCCATTGGTTGTTAACCACAAAACAACACACAAAAGCACTTTTTACGCGCATCAGGAATCATATTGAATAATTTGTGGAGGAAAATCTAACATAGTGAAGAGATTCGTTATCTTCTTCTTTCACAATTCCCATGTTAATGCCAGTGATAAGAACTATGAAGTTCCAGCGAAGCTAAATTTCCCTCAACCGTTTCCTTCCCCATTTCAACACCCTCTCCTTCTTGCATTGATGACTAAATATATCGGTTTCTTAATTTCATTCAGGTTCACCGAGCAATGCTGGCCATTCAATTTTTTTTGAGTTGGAAACTCTTTAATTAAAATGCTCCTGAAGTAAGATAATATTATAAACTCATAACCAGAATGATTAGAAGCATATGCTCAGCTCATGTTTTTATTCAAAATTTGAAACCAGAAGACAATACAACAACAACAAGAAACCTAGCGGGATCCCATAAGTGGGGCCTGGGAAGGGTAGTGTGTACGCAGACCTTATACCCCTACACTGGGAAAGTACAGAGGTTGTTTCCAATAGACCCTCGGCTCAAGAATGAAACTAAAAGACAATGAATTAAACAATTATCATTACAAGTAAACATTCTCCTATCAAAGCTGAAAGCGCAAAGCTGAAAACTACATGTAAACAGGAAGAGGAGCAAAGTGAAATCTAACAAGTAATCATTCAAGAAGTGGAACTATTGATTGAACTCCGATGAGCTATAAAAACTTCAAAAGATTCATCTCCCAATGCAGTTCATAATGGAAAAATAATCAATCAATGAACAGAGAAACCGCATTTTGCTGCCAAACAACAGCAACATTACGCTTCAATTTCAAGCAAGTTGGGGTCGGCTATATGAATCCTTATTGACCATGCCACTCAAATAAGACTAATACCATACAAACATCTATTCTAACTCAATCTATTGAAACAGGGAAAATAAAAATATGAATACCTGTAACTTTGAGGCCAAGCAGGAGGGTTGAAGGAACTCGGTTTGCTGTCGGGGAAATCATTTTCATTATTATCATCATTAGAGTAATTGGAAGAATCAGAGTCATTCCCATCTTCATTTTCAGGTTTATCCAATTGCTTCTCCTGATGATCATCCTCGTCGTCACTCTCTATGTAGAAACTGTGTTCAGAGACAGAATTCTTCATCTTCGGTCTCCTTTCAACCCCTCAAAAAACTCTGCATACCACAAATTCTCCTCAGATTCCCATTTAGAGTACAGAATCAAACTTTAAAATGGAAACCAATGAATCAACAACTGAAAAATGGAATCTTGAATTCCGTTGACATAAGGAAAGATTCTAATGTAATAATGGTTCAAAATTTGCTTAAGATCACATGTTCAAATTCAAGGTGTAAGGCATTTCATGTTAGTCATACACTTAAAATTTGTAATGAAGAAAATAACGGACACCCCATTAAAAAGGAAAGGCCAAGATTCAAAAAGAAAGAATCTTTTTTATTCACAATAAAAAATGCCTTGAAATTTGAAACCACAACGAAAAAAAACATATAATAAGACGGAGAAAAAAAAAAGATAAAATCTTTTCCTGAAATCATGGAGCAAAATTAGTGGTTATGTCAAAGATCTTTGAAAAAATTTCAACTTTCCAAAGACAATTTCCTATTATTTAGACACCCAATTTGCAAAAACACACACACACACACACACACACAATTTGCAGATTCAAGAATCAACAGTAAATACAACCGACCCTTTTTCACCTTCTCCTTCTGCGGAGTATAATTTAAGGCAATTTTAGAGCTTAAAAAGAGACAACCAAAAACCAATATCTAATCATAAAACCATCAAAGGATGTGGTGCAAGCATATGGGGGCTGCTCTTCCCCTAACACAGTCTCAGGTTCGAGCCCTAGGTATGGAAAAATACCCGCCGAATGGGGCCCTATGCGGCGATGTAGTCGGGCTCCATTACGGGTACCGGACACCAACACCGGGTGTGGGAAACCAAAAAAATATCTAATCATAAAGAAAACAGTGCACAAAGTTACTATAATTAGAAAAGAAAAAGTTTCTTACTTTATAGTCTGAGAGGAATTCTGAGATATGAATGTCAAAAGAGTTGCTAAAAAAGGAGCTCTTTTTCTGCAGGCTTTTCCACTGAAACTAACAAAAAAATTCAGCAGCAGACACTCAGATTTATGTGATAAGTATTTATTGAAATTATAGGGAGACAGAAGGAGTAATAAAAGTAGGCTAAATGTTGTGCTGTGCTATGCTGATGTTTGATTGTTAAATTATTGTTTTCTGAGTTTTTGAATACTCAAAGATGATGATGACACAGATTATAGATGGACCACTTATACAGTCCTTACTTCTCTGCCGCCTACATAACATTGCACATGACTAATAAGGTTTGCGTCTTATCTTTCATGTTTTCATGTTATCAAGAAAACAAAGAGAATTAGTGGGCGTTTGGATATAAGATTTGTAAAATTCCAAAAAGAAAATATTTTTTTTTCAAGTCAAAATAGTATTTAAAAATTAGAGTTGTGTTTGGACATGAATATAATTTTGGGTTGTTTTTGAAGTTTTGTGAGTGATCTGAGTAAATATTTTGAAAAACAACTTTTTGGAGTTTTTCAAATTTTCAAAAAATTCTAAAATTCATGCAAGTGAAAATTGGAAATTTATGGCCACTGATTTCGGAAAAAAAGGTGATTTTTTTTAACCAAAAAAACTTATGTCCAAACGGGCTCTTAATTATGCCTTAAAAATCCATAGCTATGTTTAGTCACGGAGCAGGAACTTTTTTTTGTCAAGTTTCTTAATAGAAAGAATTACAAGAAAATACACATAACTTCACCCAATAACAAAAAATAATCCATATTTTTAAGTTTTATCCGTCTTAGCCCATATTGTACATATTTTGAAAGCACTAGCAAATTCAAAATTTGTGTTCTTACAACCATTGCTTCTAAAAGCTATGGAATTAAATTTGTGTTCTCACAACCATTACTTTCACTCTCTCTTCTTCTCAAATCTTCTACATATGCTTCAAGGGACCATATATTTTCTGCTTCTCCTCTTGTGTCACCTGGTTGTAATGTAAGAAAATTGAAGAGTAGAAGTCCACCATTGAAGACCATTCAAAGCTTTTCTTTCGAAAATGGGTTTTTTGAGTTTGTTAGTTGTTTGGATTGGGTGTTGTTCCAATTGATTGAAAATATCAAAAAGAGTTCAAAATTTAAATTTGAAGTAATTTGGAGTAGATTTGAGCAAGATTTAAGTTAAATTTCATAAAAGGCGCAAGGAAGAAGACCAAGTCAGTTTTTTTGTATAATTTTGTATAATCTTGTATAATAGTGTATATGAGTGTATAAACACATCTTATACACTTTTATACACCTTTACACACTTCTTCCACGATTTTCAGTTGCAATTCTTGTTCAAAACCAGTCCAAATTTCCATTAAATGACTTCAAATTTTGTATACAACCTCCTTATACTATTTCTAACAAGTGTAAATAACACTCACTCTAAAATTCTCACAAAATCAAATTCGGAATTTAAACCCACATATTTAAGCTTGTTAAAAATCTAATTTTCACCACCCAAATGGATTTGGTTTGTTGAACTAATATTTGAGTCACAATTACTGATTCGAAAATTAACTTAAAAGCTTGAGAAATCTTTTTTTTTTTAAAATTAAATAGTAATTTTGAGAATCTATTGGAGATGGATGTTGAATCTTAGCCTATTATTTTTGGGCTAGTTGGTTGTAAATTGAAATATGGGATATAAAATTAAAATGTAGGGAGCCCAGTTGTTCTTGTGTGAAAATATACGAAAACTTATAGTCTACTTGGCCAAGTATTTTTAGCCAAATGTTTTTCTTTTTGGGTCTTTCTTCGGTGTTTGGTCAATTTTTTAGGAGAAAAAAAAAATACATAATTTTTTAGATACAGAAAAAATAGTTTTTCTCCAAAAGTAATTTTGAATAAAATACACTTAAAAATACTTTTCAAAAATATATAATTAAAAGCACATTTTAAAAGCTTGCTCAAAAGTATTTTTTAAATTAATTAGTCAAACACATATTGCTTCTCACGATAAGTACTTTGCAAAATAAGCTGAATTTAGAAGTTTGGCCAAACAAACTACATTAAACACACAAAAAAGTTAGGAGTCCAACATTTACTGTTTATATATTGAAATAATTGACCTTATATGTAGATGGAATGTCTTCCTGGCCACTTAAATTTGTAGGGCATTTGAAAGCCGATACATGAACTTTAAACTTTCCCATTTGAACACTTGAACTTATGATTCTCTTAATTATTAAACACATTTGACCGTTGACCATGCCCATGTAGTGTCAGCTGGTCCTAATCAACTTGTTGCGTGAAGAACACGACGCACAAGAGCGTGAGAGCCCTCTTACTTCCCTGCCGCCTACACAACACTGCACATGACTAATTAGGTTTGCGTCTTATTTTTCATGTCTTCGTGTTATCAAGAAAACAAAGAGAATTAATTACGTGTTAAATATTCTAACCTATGTTTAGTCACGGAGCGAGAGTTTTAGCTATGTTATGTCTCAAATTATATGTAGTGTTTCTCTTTTATACACCTCTTAAAAAATATTCGTTAGGAGGAGAGTTTGACTATTTTACCCTTATTTATATCGTAAGATATAATCTTTCTTTATTAAATATTTATTTTATTTATGTTTTGTCTTCATCTTCAAGAACAATTATTAATAAGGGTAAAATGGGAAAATATATTTTATTTTGTCTTATACTTCTAACATGACAAATAATTTGAGACAACTATTTTTAAAAAGGATGACAGATAATTAGGCGGAGGGAGTAAGACTTAAACACACAAAAACTAAGAAAATTCAGTATTTACATTTATATATATATATATATATATATATATATATATATATATATATATATATATATATATATATATAAAATTGACCTTGCTGTCCCCTAGCTCCAACTCTTGCTAGGTTGATTTTTTTTCTTTTGTGCACGTCAGACAGATATGATGGAATCACTTAGAGGTCGTTTGATATAAAAATAATAATGAATGCACACCCTATTTGGTATTATTTCATATATAGCTAATTTATGCATAGCAAAATATGATGTTAACAACACCAAGGTTATGGCGGGATACATACGGAAGACATGCACCATTTTTTACTTAGACATTTAAACTAGGTCTCTTTCCATCTGAACTCATTTTTTAAGCATTTATTATACCAATTAGACACGTTTTGTGCAGGTGGCATATAGCGTGACTTACAGCCTATTTAAGTGCGTGAAGGATTCTAAGAAGGGATTTTTCCTTTCCCAATTATACACATAATGGTAACATTGTGAAATAATATATCTCTATTTAAACCCTAACTCCTTTCCCAATTGTTAAAAATCCAATTTTGTTAATTTCAGACTTCTCCAGCACTTCTCCTTCTCTTCTTGTCAATTCTTTTCTTCTCTTATCTTCTCTTCTTTCTCTCGTTTCTGTTGTTGCCACGTTTATTTAGGTCGGAACTTTAGATAATATCCATTAATGTCGAACTAATCGGAATCGACAAACTCGTCAATGTCACCTTGCGCTGCCGCTCGAATTTGTAAGTGTGGTGTTTCTCCAAAGTTGAATGCTTCTTGGACCCAACTAAACCCAGGTCGTAGGTTTTTTGCTTGCAAAATCGGAAAGGTAAATTGTTTGTTCTTAATTTGTATTCTGGTTTATGAATTATTTTCTTTGATAAAAATTGATTAAATGTGTTTGTGATATTTGTAGAAAAAGGGTGGATGTGATTATTTCTGTTGGTATGATGATGAGATGCCTATTCAAGTAAAGAAAATAATTTGGGATTTATTAAAGAGAGTCAAAGCTTTTGAAGAGGAGAAAGTTCAAGCAAAAAGAAGACTGATCCTTTTGACGATTGTTGTTGTATTGTTGCTCGTTTATGAAAACTGTAGGACTGATACACTTTGGTTGTTTTAGATGTTGTCGATTAATTTGGCTGCACTTTTGTAATATTAGCAGTGCTATGTAATGTTGGTGCTTCTGTTTTGAAACTACTGGTATGAAATGTTCTATGTAATCTTAGCACTGCTTTGTAATTTCAGCTGATGTTGCTAAAATTACTTTTGTACAACTGACTTTTGTTATAAATTTCTGTTAGCTATAAATTTGTGTTAGTTTGGCTGACTATTGTACAACTGACTTCTATTTTGATCTGCTATAAAAAATTTGCACATCCGACTTGTGTTGAAGTGTTGAAGATTGCTGCTACGTAATATTGACAGAAAAGCACCAATTATAGGGTGTTTGCCCAAAACAAAATAAGGCATAGCCATATCATTGATTACTGCTATGTAGCATTGACACTAACAAATGATCCGTACCAAGTTTAATAAGAGCAGTAAGATTACACAACTGAATAGAACCATAGGAGTTTAGTTCTTCAAAAACTAGATCCCACAATATAATAGGTTGCTGCTACATAATCATATAGTCAAAATAAGTTCCTAAGGTACTACTTCTTGCTGAAGTTTGCCTTTATATGCTGCAACTGGGAAGTTGTGACAGCATCTTGACCCTTCCACCTCAAGCCTCTTGCCTTAAAACAAAGGTCTATTCCTATTGGAGCTGCACTCTTATAAGTTGAACCACTAGCAATAACTCTTTGGCTTGATATTCCGGGCTGCAGTTTGCCAAATAATGAAGCACAATCAGTAAGTTATTTCTAAGTCATATTATAGATGAAATATGTATGAATATATACATTTAGTATTTGAGTTCCACTTGCAGCCGTGTAGATGCCAAATCCAACATTTTTGGACCTTTTTCTGCTCCCTTTTCAACATCTTCTTTACCTGCACCCCTTCCTCTCTTTTGGCCAGTAGTTGCTTTACCTTTTGGAGGAAGTTGATTACCTAATCCTCTTCTAGCAGGCCTACACGAATCTGTTGAACTTGGTGGTGGTTGACTTGAGCTTCTAGCTTCATGAACCCTTCTAACTCTTGTTGTATCATCACACATAGAGTTTGTAGGTTGGCTTGAGCTTCTTGCTGCATCAGGTTGGCTTACTCCTTGTGAGCTTTGGCTACCTTGCTGTGAAGGCATCCAATTTTCAGCCTACATGACATTGAGCAACAGGAAACATTTGAAAATGACACTAGATTCATATGAACAACAGGAAACATTTGATGGCAACAGGAAACATTTGACAGAAAACATTTACCTTACAATATCTTTTGTTATGTCCTTGTTGATGGCACTTGGAACATGTCATTTTCACTCCACACTTGGACAACTTTCCATATTTCTTTTTGGTTCATCTTTGCCTTTTCTTCTATTCCTCTAAGGTCTACCAGGCATGGGTTTAGGTTTGGGAGGCTCTATCTTAGGATTCTTGGTTTCAGGCCACATCTTTATATTTGTCATAGGCTGGATGAAATACTTGTATGCTTTTAAGAAAGTATCCCTCTTATACCAATGCTCCACTACCTGTTCAGGTTCTTGGTTTATGTGATAGTATAAAAGAACAGCATGTTGGCATGGAATACCTCTCAACTGCCAAGCTCTACAAGTGCATACCTTATCAGTCAGATTAACTACATGCTTATGCAGTTCTTCTCCAATCTCAAATCCAACATCAGCATTCCAAAGGAAAGTACATTTTCTAGCAAGCTCTTTGCTATCCTCTAACAGTAGCCTAGCCATAGGTGGTATATCAGATATCCAAGTATCAAGAAATTTCAACATATCCACTTGTCTAGTCATTATTTTCCTCCTAATCTCCTCCAATATAGTTATAATTGATTTATGCGTAGAAGCTAAAATCCATGAATTAAAGGTCTCACACATATTATTTTCAACAACATCGCACTTGGAATGCACTTCAAAATATGCTCTAACCCATGACTTTTTTTGGATAATATAACAAATCCCTACAAATATCCTTACCAAGTTTGTCCATTTTCTGAATCTCCTCCTTAAACTTAACTTCATAACTAGCTTTAGAGCACCTCCAAAACTGTTTTCTCCTTTCCTCTCCTTTCCATTTCTTATGCCAATTAGACCAGATGTGCCTGGCACACATTCTAAATTCAGCATTGGATAAAATTTCATTCAAAGCTGCAGCAAATCCCTACACAATAATGAATTCACATTATAGCAGCATATTACTTAACAGCATAGCAGCAGATTACAATAATAGCATGATGTTCACTTAACGGCAGCAGATTACTTCACAGTAGTGGATTACTTAACAGCAGTAGATTACTTTATAATAGGAACAGATAGCAACACATTACTTAACAACTGAACAGATCACAAAACTACTTAACAGACCACTTAACAAACTACTTAAAAAACTACTTAACAGTGAAGCAAGGGGGATTGATTAACAGTGAGGTGAGGGGGGTTACTTAACAGTGAGGTAAGGGGGTTACCTTTTGCATATCTGCCATCACAGTCAATCCTTCTCCAGTTCCTAAGTGCAAATCATCTTTCAAGTAGTTGATGCAAAAACTCCAGCTATGCTTTGTCTACTGATCCACAACTGCCCATGCTATGGGAAATATTTGTTGATTTCCATTCTTTCCAATAGCAACTAGAAGCTCACCTTTACAAGCACCCTTTAAGAAACAACCATCAAAACCTATGATTCTCCTACATCCTTCTAACCAACCTTTCTTCAATGCATCAAAGCACACATAAAAGTAAACACTGAGATTTTTTCCTGGCTCAGTTTCACTGTCCATCCTTACCCAACATGAGCTACCAGGATTGGTCTGTTTTATCATATCAGCATAATCACATAACCTTGCAAACTCCATATTCCAATCACCCATGGACTCCTTGAGAACACGCATTTTAGCCCTTATAATAAATTATCTTGCCAACATACAATCCTAGCTTGTCCCTGCACAACTCTTGTATTTCCCATATCCTTATATGGGGCTGCTTAGTTATTTCATCTTTGAATTTCTTTGCAACAAACTTTGAAGTGCACAACTTATTCTTGTTTGAAGTATCACATTTGTGTACTGGGTAGTAGTTCTTTACTTTAAAATCACCCGAATCTCTATCAATACAAGCATAGCACACCCATTTGCATCTCTTTGATTTACACTTAGCCCTCACCCTATGTGGTTCATTCGGTCTCAATTTAATCTGCACCTTGTACTCCATTGCATAATTTGCTAATGCTTTCCGAAACGCTATAGCATTCTCAAAAATCATCCCAAGTTCAAATATATCAACTTCACAATTCGTATCATACCTAACTTTTGTACTCCTCCTTCTCGCTGGTATATCAACACCAGGAATAGCTTCAGGATCTAACTCTTCTGTGCTATCTTCACCATCAACCTCTGAACTATCAATAAACTGCTCATCCCTACCTAATTTACCTACATATCTTGAAGCCTTGTTTCTTCCAATATCCTTAAATCCTCTGTCAATACCTGCTTCTCCTAGTGGTATCTCCTTTGTTGCAATTGGTTTTTTCCTCTGCTTACCCTGCCTCTTGCTCCTCCTTTCAGCCCTTAAAGATCTCAAATCATCATCAACCTCTGAACCATCTTCTTCATGAAGAACATCTACTTGTGAGTCACTACTCTCAACATCTGATTGCACTCCATTTTCATCATTATTATGGTCTGGTTCAACATCATTCAAAGTCGGTTCAGAAGCATTGTGAGTTGGTTCAATATCATTCAAAGTTGGTTCAGAAGCGTTGTGAGTTGGTTCAGCATCATTCAAAGTTGGTTCAGAAGCATTGTGAGTTAGTTCAACATCATTCAAAATTGGTTCAGCAGCATTGTGAGTTGGTTCAGCAGGCGGCTCAATAGGTTCTTCAGTATTTATATTACTCCCGGGTGTTGCCCTAGCTTTAAATTTGTCATTACCATCCCCACTTACTTCTGTCCCACATAAAAGACCAACTACGTCTTCGAGTACTTCAGGCTGACTCACCCCATGACACAAAAAAACATCCAAAATATCACTATGTTTTAAATATTTCACAAATTCATATAATTGAAAATCAGATACGACTTTGATAAATTCACCATTTTTTCCTTTTGACAATAAAACTCTTCGACAGCTGCATACCCAAGATCTTTAGCATAAGAACACAACTTGATAACACTAAAATGGTCTTTATCGAAAGCAATAGCAAAGGCATCTAATTCCCCTTTGTATATTGGGGCAGGTTGTTCGATAAATGTACCCCGTGGTGAAAACAAGTTAAAATATAGTCATCCATAATATTCCCTTACATAAGACGACAAGGGACCAGCACAAAGGAAAACTCCAAAAAAACCCTAGCTTTATCAATAACTTAAAAGAAAAAAGCCCTAACTGTAGCAATAGAAAATAAGGAGAGATCGGACCTTTAAGCGTTGTAAATACCGTGAGAAATCAGTAGAAATACTAGATTCCAACACCATTGATGGAAAGAAGAAGAAGCTTAGTAACGGAATTTTCTTTCTTTATTTTCATCGATAGTAAAAGGAACAAGGTTAATTTGTTTAGATTGTTTGTGTAGGACTGTTTATTTGTGTATTTTAGTGAAAATAAGACTATATAGGTGAGGTGGACAATTAAATGATGTGGCACGATTTATAATGGTTATTTGTTCCACGTAGACGGAGATTGCGGAACACGCGCTTGGTGAATTAATAAGCCTGCACAAAACGTGTCTAATTGGTATAATAAATGCCTAAGAAATGAGTTCAGGTAGAAAGAGGCCTAGTTTAAGTGTCTAAGTGAAAAATGGTGCCAACTTTAGGTGTCTCTGTATGTATTCCGCCCCAAGGTTATTAATACATGCATAAACTTAGTTAAAGACATTATTGTATTTTTATTTTGTGATATTTTAATTAATTTTTTCCCTTTAGTATTCTACTATAATAATAAAAAATTATATTTAAAACTAAATTTGATGCGAAGTTTTTCTTTATTTGTTAAAAATCTATCTGTTTTTTACTAATTGATATATTGTATTATATGGCATAGCAATTAAATTTTTCTTCTATTTTAACTTTAATATTATTTCAATTAATTTTCTCCTTTAGGTTTGCTCTCCTGTAAACAAATTGCTTTAGAGA